AGGGAACAATGATATAACCTGTTAGAAAGCGCCAAAAAAGCCCCTCTTAATAGATCACAGTGAGGGAAGAACTCTATAATTCCATTTCCATTTATTATCACGGCTTAAAAGGTAGTAATCTAGAAACTGTTTTTGAAATCAATATTGTCATTTGGTTTTACCTGTGTGTGTAGCGTTGCCAGATAACGTTCCCTCTGCTCCGTTCGCTGCTGTCCCCACCTTCCTCTGTTTTCCAGGGCCCTCAGCTGGCTCCTCGTCTGCAGACTGGTAGGAGTCATCGGAGGAGGCCCCTGTAGAGGACACAGGACATGGCTCTGTAATGGGGTCAGATCCTAAAGGAGTGGTCTTTTTTAGACACAGACAGTCCCAGACCCAAAGGTGAGAAAGTCAGTGTGATAGTGGCAACCTTGACAATGGATAGGCTACTATTTTGGGTTTTTGTGATTAAGTAGAACAAGGATGAACTAAAAATGTGACTTAGCGTCTGGTCTATGTTCTAATGTTGTTTCCTCATCACAAACACACCTGGAGTTGTGTTTTGTTTCATTCACACATGTTTAACACACAAACCCTGAATATTTAGGCTGAGTTCTTTTTTCAGACATAAAACACTCTGTTCCACCTTGTGATGTCATGTGGAAATACAGGAAGTGCTCCACTGTGCTTAACTCCATACACCCTCACTAGAATCATTTGGATAATTTCAGTCCTGGAATCGCCAGTCGCTACTGAACAAAAACTAAAAGGAAGCCATTAATTTGAAAGCTATACACTTAATGATGTCACAAGGTGGAACAGAGCATGTTGAGCTTTGGAGATGTAGACAGACTAATAATAAAGGTTAACTCAAACATGTGTGAATGAAACAAAACACAGCTCCAGGTATGTTTTTGAGGCAGTAACAACATTCTAACGTGACAGTTTTGCATAATATAGGACCTTTAATACTCGCTGAAATGGTCAAATCTGCCAATATCATGCCCTGCTATTGTGGTAAATACTCTACATTGTATTTTGACCGTTTACCATGCTCCTTACCACATTCTCTGCTTTTTGAGGCCCATTTTAACATATAATTTTGGAACTAAACCCACTTTTGACCTATGAACTATGAACTATTGGCCCCGTCTATTACACAGAAACAAAAGTCTATAGTAGTTAAAGGCAGCTGTTTGCATATGGTCCTCATCCTCCAAAATCATTTTCTTTAAAAAGGGAGAAATGAGATATTAACCGCTAACACATAACATACAGTATTTACTGTAGGTCACCATATTACCTTTTCTTGTTTGTTTGTTGTCTTGTTCATTTTGGTAGGAAGCTCCAAAAAATCAATTTTGCATAATGCCTAATTTTTAAAATGAATAAGTAATATCATTTAGTCTCAAATAGCTGGTTTAAAGAGGCTAAACCCAATTTTTCTTGTAATATTGTTTTACCTCATTACAAATATATTGTAAAAGCAGATCTTAGATTGATTTGTGCCATCTGCATCTAATCATAAAGCATTTTTATGTGTGACTACGAGTTATGAAAAGCACTTATATACTCATTGCAGTGAGGAATAACTTTGGACCACTGCAAACAGTTTAAAAAGAATTAGCTCTGTTTTTTGTTTTTAAGATAGTATAAAGTAAGTACAGCGCCTTTAACAATATGATGTAAGAAATAGAAAAATAAAATAAATACAACAATTTAAGGAGACTATTTGATTACCTTCGTCCAGAGATCTTGGTTGGCCTCTCTTGCTCCTCCGCCCTCTCCTCCTCTGGTCCCCCTCGCACTCCGCCTCCATGGGCTCGTTCTCCACCAGGATCGTGGGGATGGTCAGCTTGGGCCCCCCTTCGGCTCGGCGTCTCTTGGTGAGGGGGCTGATGGGCGCTGCGGCGGTGGAGGAGGGGGAGTGGGGGAAGAGGGTCTGGGGCCCGGGAGCCTGGTCCTTCGCGCCCACCGGAGACGTTCGCTTCCCCGTCGGGCTCAAAGATCGGTCTGCCTGGTCCAGTGTTGGGTCTTTGGTTGGTGGGGGTTGGGAGAGAGGTGAACTGTTGCTTCTGGGTAAAAAAAAAAAAAAAAAAACATTAAAAAAAACTGTTTAACTTTAGTATCAAGGAAACTTTTTTAATCAAAAATACAACATTGTAAGAATTCTCAAGTTGAGTTTGCTGTTTAACTGTGAGATTGCAGATTTGTACTGGCTGTAAATATAAATTATAGTTTTATGCCAATCAAGAAGTAATTTGTGAAGAGAAGTTTAAAAATATGTGGCAAATTACAGGAAGTAGAGAGCTCTATTTTAGAAAGTTGATGACATCACACTGGGGAGAATTCTGTTCAAAGTTTCGGCACAATTTACACACAAAACAATATTTTCAGACCCTTTAAACATGATTTCAAAAAAACAAATGTATATTCTTGTATATTTATTTGTCAAATAAAAACTTCTCTGTACAGTATTGTTGCTAGTAAGGGTGGGACGAGACACAATTTCCACAAGACGAGACGAGATATGAGATTGGGTCCAAGAGAACAAGAAGATTTTCACAATTCAGTTTCCAATTTTGGCCTTCCATTTTTGTAATTATTTGATTTAATATGCTTTGTTTCCGTTCTAGTACTGATTGTTTTGTCCAATCTAAATGTAAAAATGTGGGGGAAAAAAATCACCTGAGATAATTTTTCTCTTGTGGCAATTTTGTCTGGCGAGATCTTGTACCACCCGGAGCTGCCCCTAGGTAACATTTACAGAATTCCCTAGTGTGATGTCATGATTTCCAACCAGGAAGTAAAATTTTAAACCTAAAAATGCCCAAACTCTGAAAAAGAACTGTACATTTATTTGTTAATTCTGAATATAGTTTTTAGGTGTGTTTTAGTAAAATGATAATCTAACCTGTCATATTCATTTTAAAACTGAATGCAGTCTTTATGCAAACCTTGTGAGGGTCGCCCTTTTGGCTGTTAGTGACGGTTGCCCCGGTAACTGCTGAGCCGATGCGGTCTCCATGGCAACAGAGACGGTCCTGGAGCTCTGTTTTGATGAGCCATCCACAGGTTTCCCCAGTGATCCCACCTGCGTCACGTCTCCCGCTCTTCTCTTCACCGTCCTCTCCTCCAGGGCCTCCAGCTTCCGGATGACCTGGGGCGGGATGGGCTCCAGCTTGCCCAGGCTCGGTCTCTCTTTCTGAGCCAGCTGTTCGGTGGAGTAGGCCTTATTCAGGTTTGGTTTGCCCACCAGCTTCTTGATTCTCTGGAGCTCCTCTGTGAACTTGCTCTGGTAGTCCTGGACCTTGAGGGCGTAGGTGCTCTTGTCCTCCAGAGAAGAGGCGCGTTGCTTGAATGCGGCTCTCCTCTGAGCTGCCCCTTCTCTCTTCTCTGCGCTCTTATCGTCTGGTAGATCCACGCTGGCTCCTCGCTCCTCAAAGGCCCTCACCCTGTCTGAGATCTTAGAGCCAGTGCTTTTTGGCGTCATGGTCTTAGAAGATGGAGGAGCACTGTTTGTGTGTGAGTGTTGGGGGGCAGTTTCAGTCCTAAAAGAGTTGTGAAAAGTGTGTTCCTTTAGTTGAACGTGTCCTATCTCGTTATCACAGAACACAATGTACAAACCAAAAGTCACTATACAAATTATTTCAGCAAAACTAGAACAAGATGTTAACTTTACAAAATGCTTGTAAAAGTGTCCCCACGCCACAGTAAATACAAAACAACATGCGTAAAAGAGATCGTATGATCATTAGTTGTAATAACAACATGCTAAAATTAGCTTGGCTCAAACTCATGCGTGCCACAGCAGCTCTATAAACATATGGTGTAAATCCAAAGATGGCCGCCGCTGAAGAGAAGCATGCAGTGTCAAACGTGTGCTCACAGTTTCCAGGAGTGCTGAGTCATTATTAGCAGTGCTTCAGAACAGGATGGCTATCAGAAGTGAACAGTTAAAACAAAACACACGCACAACAGTCACAGAGCCAAAGGAAAGTGTGGGAGAAACAAAAGCACAATGAGACTGATGCTTTTTGCATTGGGTCTAGCACAGAGACAGTGTACAGTAGATAGGTGGAGTCCCGGTGGTGCCACAGCGGCGTGTGCTATAAGGGCATGGAGAAGGTCCTGCCTCTGTACAGGCTGAACATGCTGCCGTAGTAGTCACTCCCCACAGACACACTTTCCTCTGAGCCCTGCACAGCCTGTCGCGCCAGGTTAGCGTGGGATGCTCGGATCAGTGGCTCCACACCCAGGTGCCGCACGGGGGCGCCCTCAGCGGGGCCTTGCCTGGAGGGGTTGGAGGGGTCCAGAGGGGCCCCAGGGGGTCTGGAGCCCAGTGCCCGCAGCTCTCTCTCCACCACAGGATCATAGGTGCCGGGCAGAGTGGCCCTGCGGTCTGAGGCGTCGGGGTTATAGTCCATCATCCGGCCGCCTTCACCTGCACACACAAACACACACAGAGCATGAGAAGACAGACATGGACACTAGTGTCATGATACTAAAACTTCAAACTCAATTTCTATACTGAGCAATAGACTCTAAACTCAATACCAAGATTAAATACTGATTTTGGTACTAAAATACTTGTAGGATGATGGCATGGGATAATATGAAATTGTAACTTGTACCTAAGTATTTTGTTTTGTGTATATGTATGCCCCTTCTATAAGCTTCTGGGGAGTTTCCTTTTACAAGACTTCCATAAATAAATAAGACATCGCAGTGATAATGTTTATTTATTTTACTTAATAGGGACAAGTAAAAACATTAACATTAACATTAACATTAGAGCATTAGATGTGTCACATACTACAACATTTATAGCCAAGTCTAATTTGCAATATCCCTCCCTAGAAGGGCTTTTAATAAAAACACTTAAGACAATACAATTTTCAGCGATAAATCATAGTACTTTCTTTTCTATTCCCATGTGGTCCTATATGTGTGTAACCCTCAGTGGTCCAGGTAGGTTCCATAGTGGTCCATGGGTGTATACTAGTTTATGTGCTCTTATACTTGTTCTGATACAGCTCAAGATCATTCTAAAGCTATTCAGGAAAGATTCATTTCTGTCCTGAATGTGATTTTTCTTTAGTATTGATACCTGCTCAAATGAGTATCTAGTATCTGATTTTGACAGCCCCTCATGGAGACTAAACTATTCTACTTGTCTACCGTGAAACTCTTTCTTTGTCACTTTTCGTATGAGGCAAACAGTTCACAGAGACAGACAATTTAAACAGTAAAACTACAATCACGTCTCCCTTTTGGCCATACATCTTTTTATAGCTCAACACTGCTATTTCAGGCATTTGTGCTTTATAGTTTGACATTTCCAAGATAACATGTGACAGCAAAAGCCTTCCTCTTCACTTTACTCTGCAGTGAAGGATGAGGCCAAGTCTAAAACGAAAACGTCACCGGGAAGGCCATGTTAAGCTATAAATGCTATAAAAATATGAACTTTAACAGCTCGTAACCCCATTCACAACGTCTCCGCTGCTTCTAATATAATAAATAGCATTTTAATGAGCCTCATAAATCGCGTGTAATGTAAAACGCAGGCTCTGAGCGGGCAGACGCAGACTAGATGCAGATGTAGCGGGCGTATAAAGCAGATATCGATTTCTTTAAACAGGAAATGAGTCCGAAAGGGGAGCGGGGTCCACTTAAAGAGATGCACGCGCCGCAAATCAGGTAAGGATCGACGCGTGAGTGATGAGCGCGCCCGGGAGGAGTGCACCGGCAGCGGAAACGGGGGCCGGTCAGCAACTTACGAGAAGCACGCACACGCATCGCCAGCTAGGATACCAGAGATCAGTTCTGAGTCAGCGGTGCGCACGCTAGCAAAGCACTCTGGGATTCAAAGAAGTATATGTTTTATATATGAGGAGCTATTGTGATATGTGGTACAGTTATACGCCAGCTGTGCAATATGCAACATTCCCTGGGGCTGTGGTGCTAACTGTAGGCACTGCTCTGTCTGAAGTTCATACAGACTTTAATCTAAGCTTTAGTCTGACAATAAGACTTAGTTGGAAATACAAAAGTTGATCTGATTAGTGCACTTAAACAAGTCTACCACACATAAAAAATTACCGTCACATGCAAGTTAGTATTAGTCAACAGTTTTTCATTTAGTCACCTATGTTTTTGTTGAAAATCAAACTCCTAAACAAGAACATGAATGCTCGGACTGATCACAGGCTCCTGAAAATGTGTTTTTTAAATTAATTTTGTATGTAGTTTTGTGAGTGTTTGCTAATGTGTGCATTGTGTCACCATGGTAACTGCTGAACATTCCATCATGCAGATACATGTAGAACACCCCCAGCATGATGTTACTGCAAAGTATCAACAGTTAAATACTTTTCTTGCTCGTCTCCATGGAGATGTTCTCGCTTTGCCTAAAATGCTTCATAATGGCATTAAACTTATCTCCATGGAGACAGTAATACCAGCAAGCCAAGCTAACACAGTAAGAATGCATGTTTTTTCAAGGTGTTTTATAGCAATAAAAGAATGTATATTTGAATAAATGTAGGATAGCCAAGTTTAATGCCATACCAGGCAACGCAATAACATCTCCATGGAGACAAGCAGGCGGTGGGCCCTCAACCAGAAAAGTTATAGTGCACCTTTTAAAAATGATAATGATAAAGGGTGGAGTGAGTAGCAGTGGTGCAGTAAGTTAAGCCTATGAATTAGAGGCTATGCAGTTCAATTCCCACTTGAGCAGATACCCACACCAATCCCAGCAATATATAGATGGTTACAACAGGAAAAGAATAAAAAGTGGCAAAAGAATAAAACACTTTGTTAAAGATGCATGTGTAACTTTTCCAGTTTAGGGTCCATCAAATGCTTGATCTCCATGATGATGTCGTAGCTTTGACTGGAATGTTTCACGGTATGACATTAAACCTTTGTATCTACACGGAGACCAAACCAGACCAGAAAAGCTACAGGTCAGATCTGTGGAGAGGCGACCCTGCTCACAGTCAGAATGCCTGTTTTTTTAGGTATTTTCGAGCTATAAAACCACTTGTAATTAAATACATGTAAAGTGGAGTTGTTTAATGTCACACTGTGGAACATTCCAGGCAGGGCAATGACATACCCACAGAAACAAGCAGATAACGGACCCCCAACCAAAAAGTTACACAATGCACCTTTAAGATTGCTACTACCAACTACCCTGACAAAGTAATTCCATTTTGAACAAATTGTCTCCAAAGTCTGTCTATGTGAATAGATGAAGTACTGATGGAGAATATTACACACTTTTGGCAGTAGCCAAGCTTGCAGTGATGCAGCGTGATATAGCACTAGCATCTCGAGCTCAGTGTCAGAACATGCTCGTGTGCCGAAGTTGTTGACACGATGAAGAGTTTATGATCCTCTGCTAGATCCTCTGCTAGTTCCTCTGCTATAAGTCCTCTGATACTTTACTAAGTAGTACATAGCCTGTATACACTAAGCAAACAGCAAGATAACAAGCACATTTTAGTGTTAGCATGCTACTTGTGGTTAGCTTTGCAAAGGTGTCTGAGAGATGTGAAAAAAGCTTATGAACTCATCGCTGTGAGTAATTACATTGTAAAAGTAACTGCAAAAGTTTTTCACATTTTTAAGGGCCCATTCACATATGTTTAACACAAACTGTATATTTAGGCTGAGTTCTTCTGTCAAACACAAAACACTCCCACCTTGTGATGTCATGTGGTAATACAGGAAATGCTTCACTATATTTTTAAACTCCATACACCTTCATTAGAATCATTTAGATCATTTCAGCCCTGGAATTGCTGATCTCTACTAAACTAAAGGTAAAAGGAGCTCTTCATTTGAAAACTACCACTTGACATCACAAGGTAGAACAGAGCATTACGAGCTTTGCAGATGCAGACAGACTAATAATGCAGGATTACTCAAGCATGTATGAATGAAACAAAACACAAGTCTAGGTCTGTTTTTGAGGCGGTAACTATATTATAACATGACTTAAAGCTCACAAGAGTCAATTTTGCGTAATGACTTTTTAGACAGTACCATCCATAATCCATCCATAAACTCCATAAACGTTACAGCTGTCTGATAGTGTGCCCGCTTTCCTAGGACTGTAGTATTAGTGATCTATAATAACAGCAAAAGAAGATTTTTCATGGCTTTTTACAGACTTACTAGTATTACAGATAGAGAGTGAGAACTGAAATCTTAAAATACAGATGATTTGGCCAATTATTCCAAGTTTTCCTTTGTTTATATTTGTTTACATTAGTGACTGGAATCAATATGGCGGCAGATGGCAATAATGGATACCAGTAGTGATAGCAACTGTGATAGCAACTGTGATAGCAACTGCCATAGTATTAGACCAATAGTTCATAGTTTTGCAGTAGTTTTGAAGATGCTATATTCGCCAAAAACAACGTATTAACATGTTTTATAAGTTTTACCTTCACTCTGAGTCTTTGCCTCCCTTTGCTCTCTGTGCTAAGTCACTCTCCGTTCAGAGCGCTATTACAACACAATCAATGAATGAATCCCGCTAATGAAACTACCGCACATCGCATCAGGCTAATAAAGTTCAAAGAGATGTTCAGGGGAATCTAGTAATTCAGCACTAGCTCTAATTGCTAATAAAACTGCTAACATATGTAACTGTGCTTTTGCGACATGCTGAGAATTAAAAGAGCTGAAAATACAGATGATTTGGACAGTTACTGCAAGTTTTCTTTGTAGTTTACATTTACATATGGCAGCGCGTGGCAAAACCGGATACAGGTAGTGATAGCGATTGTAACATCAGTCACCATAGCGTTAGAACACGGCCCGGAGTGTAGTGGAGCTCAGATGGGTTCGGTGGAGCGGTGGCAGACGCTACATGCTGTTAGCTGTCACTGCGTCGTGTTTGGAGTGTGAAATATCCAGAGCGCCTCCAGGGAATCGTGTCCCATTTAGAACAAAGGCCTGATCCTGGACTCAAGGAGAGAATCTGTCAAGGTCACGATTGTCACTACTGCATCACATCATGGCACAGATATTCAGTTTAGCTGGTGGCACAGGGGGGAGTTTGGTTGCCATGTTACCTAAAGGTTGGGGGGTTCAAATGCCGCCGATTCATACTGTTGGGATTTAAAGGTGCGTTGTGTAACCTTTCTGGTGAAGGGTCCGTCAAATGCTTTTCTCCATGGAGATGTTAGTGCTTTGTCAGGAATGTTTCACAGTATAGTCTATGGTCTGTCTTCACTGAGAGTTACAGGTCAGATCTGTGGAGAAGCGACCCCACATGTCAGAATGTTTGTTTTTCTAGATATTTAGATATTTTTGAGCTATAAAACCATCTGTAATTGAATAAATGTAAGAGAGAGTTTCATGCCATATTGTGGAACATTCCTGGCAGAGCGATGACATCTCCATAGAAACAAGCAGATGACAGACACCTAACCAAAAAGCTACATAGTGCACCTTCAATTTAATGTAATTTAATGTAATATACTATATGTTTTGTATCGTACTGTATTTATTCATCTTTTAAATTCAGACCAGTTGTTTCCAAACTCTGTAGCTCCTCTATTTATCTGCAGATTGTAACGGGCTCCCCAGTAACTGAATTCAAAACAATATGTCATGTTTTCCTCTTAAATGTACATAATAGCTATAGGCTTAATACTGATGTAAAGTTGTAAATGAAGCAAATAAATTATGTAAAGTTGATTTCAACAAAATTTTCTATTATGCTTGTTGTGTGGACAAATTTTGGGGGCCACCCTGCAGTGCCTCTGAAACCCCCAGAGGGCTCCGAACCCCACTTTAGGAATCACTGCATTAGACAATCCAAGTTGTTGTACAATTTGTTCCAATATCTTTCATTCATCATCCGCACTCATAGCCATCAATTAAAGTTGTTTTGAGTAGCTTTTCAGGTAGAGGGTCCGTCACCTGCTTGTTTCTATGGAGAGGTCATTGCTCAGCCTGGAATGTTCCACAGTATGGCATTAAACAGTTCTACTTTAAATGTATTCAATTATAGCTGTTTTACAGCTCAAAAATAACTAGAAAAACAGACATTCTGACTGTGAGCGGGGTCGCCTCTCCACAGATCTGACCTGTAACTTGATCTGGTTTGGGCTCTGTGAAGATGGAAAGGTTTAATACCATACTGTGGAATGTTTCAGACAAAGCAATAAGATCTCCACGGACAAAAGCATTTGACATACCTTCCACCAGAAAAGTTACACTTCACACCTTTAGGGCAAGCTGGTTAAAAAAAAAAAAAATGAAAAAAAAAAAAAAATAAAAATCTCAAATTCCAAGTCTATCTTTATTACACTTGGACATGGACTGCAATAAGTTATTTCTATTATTCTGTGCATATAAGACTGCATATAAGAGTGCTTCGTGAATTTGTGAGAATGTATCTGTACCCTGTAAACCTCCACCACCCCCCTTCTTCCCATCCCCATTACCCAGGCGGTGGCGGCGCGTCTCTATATAGATCAGAGCTATTGACACCTTTACTCTGAGCGGTGCGGGCTCCGGTGCGTTTCGGTGTCAGTGGGTTGACAAATTCCTCTCTGGAGGTGAGAGCAAAATAGAAATGTAGAGGGCGTGATGAAAACGGGGAGTTAATTTTGTTTATAAGGCTGCGGGCACAAACTAGAACGCAGCAAAGATACAGGGACATGGGAATCTGTGGCAACAGTATTAGAAATGTTTTAAGGGCTTCCGATTTATATCCAGTCAACAGTGTATATGGAAAGGTAACTCCGACAACTAACATTTCAAATTGCGATACTAAGAATAGACTTAAATGTACACTATGTAACTTTTGTACACCTGGTTGTGTCCATTGAGATATGCTACGGAGACTGCTTTCCCTGGAATGTACCACAGTATGGCATTAAACTTGCTTATTACTTATTTATAGGTGTTTTTACAATAAACAATACCTGGAAAAATATGCATTCTACAGTAATGCTCCCACCTCTCCATAGATCAGACTTGTAAATTGACTTGGAGCTTGTCCCCATGGAAACATACAAGTTTATGTCATACTGTGAAAATTTCCAGGCACAGCAGCAACATACTTGATACTACAATGATAAAACACTCTTTCTTTAGACAATAGAATACGATTTTCAACATTAAATCATAGTACTTTCTTTTCCATTACCATATGGCCTTATATGACTTTTTTTTTAGTATCGATACTTGCTCAAGTGAGTATCTAGTCTCAATACTTGTTTTAGTATCAATTAGAATCTGATTTTCGATACTTTTGACAACCCTAAGACACTCTTGATCCAATTTTTGTTTTGTGTTTCCACTCTACATGTAGGTCAAAATCAAATAGATGTAAATGAGGCACTAAGACACGTTTAGAGAAGCCTAGTCATTTAGCATTAGCCCTAACACTTCCTAGCTCTAATAAATATTAATAAAAAATTGCTAACATACTGTATATAACCACACGTAAATAATATAGGTAAGCTACATTTGATTTTCAGACATGTATCAAAGGTGTAAATCACCATCAGTTTTCTCTCCTGTACAAATAAACACACTGAAACTACAGTAGTTTTTACTTTCATTTTTACTTTCACTTTAACGGCCCAAATAATGGATCAAAACAATGACTCAACAGAAGCTAGTCTGCAGCGGAGAGACTGAAGTTTGTCATCACTGCTGATCTAAAATGAGAAAGTACACGTCCAAACACATGTCTAATATTTGCCAGGCCATTCTTTGCAGTTGAATGCTTCTCTCTGATTGGACTGCACTGTTTGGAACATTCAAATCCTGACAGTCTTTCTCAATCAAAGTTTCTTGTTTACATGCATTTTTTTGACCTTTTTTTGTTGAAGCGTCCATATTACGCTATTTTCTGAGCTATGTTATAATGTTTCATCCTCACAAACATGCCTGGAGTTGTGTTTTGTTTCATTCACACATGTTTAACACAAACTGTGCATATATTTAGGCTGTGGTCCACTTTGTGATGTCATACAGTAATACAGAAAGTGCTCCACTGTGTTTTTTAAACTCCGTACACCTTCACTAGAATCATTTGGATCATTTCAGTCCTAGAATTGTCAATCTCTACAGAACTAAAGGTAAAAGGTATAAGGACATAAAAACTACCACTCCATGACATCACAAGGTGGAACAGAGCATTTTGAGCTTTGGAGATGTAAAGAGACTAATAATAAAAGTTTACTCAAACATGTGTGAATGAAACAAAATAACTCCAGGTATGTTTTTGAGGAGGTAAAAACATTATAACATGGCTAAGATCTCACAGGAGTACATTTTGTGTAATATAGGATCTTTAATTCATTGATTTTTTTTTACACAGTTCTCTATATGACCCCCACTGGCCCCAGACCCCTGTATTTCAAGAGCCCATGTGTAGCAGGTACCTGTGTGTCCCTTGCGCATCCCCTTGTCCTGCTGCCTGCCCTCTTTAGTCTCCAGCTGGGGCTCTGTCGTCTCATCTTCCGTAGTCTCAGAGTCTGCAACGCACACAAATCACATATAAGAAACAAGGAAAGAAGAACGATCGGAGGAGGAGGAGGAGGAGGAGGAGGAGGAGGAGATGTGTTTAGAGCCTACCCCCCGGCCCTCTCTGCATCTGCCCCTTAACCCCCTGGTGCGAAGTAAATGGGGTGAGACTGGAGTGTTCCGTGGTGCAGAGATACAGAAAAAAGCTGATTTTAGCTTTTGTTCTGCACACAGTGAAATGAGAAGCTAAGAGTCTGGAATGTCATTTGTAACATTTTCATTTTATGCATTTGAATTTGTCCCTGTACAGTTATATTGTATATGCAGCTCTTAGGGTTAAAATAAAACTGCTGTGTGCTGTCTGCATCTAAGCATTTGTACTGTACACAAATCAGGAAGTAATGCTGGTGAGCTGTTAGCATGCTAGTTGTTGTTAGCATGTATTATAGTGATAACAAAACGAGTCGTGGAAGGTATTAAAGTACAAGTATTAACGTACTGCACTTAAGTTGAAATTTTTGGTATCTCTACATCTCTCTTCTTACTCTGACTTAACTACATTTGAAGGCAGGTGTCTGTACTACCTGTTCTACTTCATTAAATTTTTGAACTGGACTGAAAAATAAAAAGTACTTTTCAGATTTCAAGCTTTGGGTTTGAGTAGACAAAAATTAATAGAGAAAAATTCATAAGAAAAATGAAGAAATTAATACATACGCTGCTACAAATGTATGTATCATTGTTAATCAATATCACTACATTTTAACAAATTAACATCTTATGTGGGAAATACTTTTACTTTTTACTCTTAAAGTACATTTTAAATAGATACTTAAATAAAATTCATGTGACACTCTTATTTACTTGAGTAACTTTTTACCTTTGTTTCTGTGCTTTTATATAAGTAACAAAATTGAGTATTTCATCCACCCCTGAACAAAACTCATTGTGGTGAAAAATGTGAATGTGTTTGGAGGAATAACTTTGGACCGCTGCAAGCTGCTTAACATTTGTTCTTATTTTTCATGTTTTTTAAGACAGTAAAAATCAGGTACAGAGCATTCAGGTAGGAAATAAAATCCAAAATATTTCATAAACATAAACTACTATAAACGGCAGCAGACAGGGGAGGACAAAGGGTTCTGTCATCCCGGGCCCCAGAGTTTCACGGGCCCAGAACTGGACCCTCTTCATATTAATTTTTATTAGAGGGGGTCCCATTTGATGCTTCTTGCCCTGGGCCCCCAAATTTCTGTCAACACGCCTGCTACTATATATATATGTGACCCAAAAATTTGTTCTAAATGTTCAAAATCAGTGATTGATAACAAAGTTAATTTATTTGCTACTGCAATCTTTTTTTATGTTAATATTTTGTGTGTTGGTCATCCAATCAGAAAACATGTGTTAAAACCAAGGAGTTGCTTGACAAATTGGCAAATTATCGTATTAGTGCCCTCTGCTGTTAGTATGGCTGACAGCCGGTAGACCGGATGGCCGTTCTGGACTTTTCCAGAATGCACAGATTGCCAGTCCTCTCCTGGATCAGTTTAAGGTCATGCTGGGGAACATTCCAGGCAAAGCAAAGACATATCCAAAGAAATAAACAGGATTTTTTTTTTTCTTTTAGAATTGCTGAAGACTGTATTCTGGCAAAAAAAATTGATATTCATAAAGAAGGCTACTCTTATTGGCTGGTTGCATAACAGTTTCAGAGACAGCTCCTGGGACCTCCTATGTAGTTAGAGGAACCCCCAACCCCAATATTTCCATGTATCGACAAGTTGTATTTGAACATACAACGCACAAGGGATGGAATGTAGGCACATACAAACAAAAAAAAAAAATTTAGTGCAAAGACAAGCATAAACGAAGCACAGACATACAATTCACTGTGGTATAGAGTTTATGGATATAGCATTCACAAAAACAACAACATGAAACAAAAAATATGAAAAAATAAATATATAAATTGACCACAAGGGGGCGTGGGCGACGTAGGTGGAGGCGGATGACGTGGCTTTTACCGTAGCTTTGTTTTCGGCAGGAGCGGAAAACTTCGCTTCCATAGTGGCAGCAAGAGAGGGCAGACGGGAGAGCAGCGTTACTATGGAAACCAGCATCTCGCTCACCCACACGGCCAATCCTCTTCGTACCCATTAGAAGTCTAAAAAACCTGCAGCCCAGAGGGGAGGCCGGCTGCCGGATAACACCACAGAAACACATAAGCTAGTTCAAAAAATGCACTAGATTACAATAGAGATGGGCGATATTGACAAAAACAAATATATATACAAATTTTGGGGTATTCTTTATAAATAATTAAATAAAACAAATAAAAAAATTGACCCAAAATATGTTAAAATGTATCTCCGAATGAGGTTGAAGTGTAAAATTAAAGGTGCAGTATGTAACTCTCTGGAGGTAACAAAATTCACCTGCATGATTCCATGGAAACAGAAAGTTAAAACCATACTTTGAGACATTCTTCATGGAGGTAGACATGTTTAATGCCATACTATGGAACTTTATAGTCAAAAGGACAATATTTCCATGGAAACAAGCAGAAGTAGGCCAAATATGAGCCAGGTTTGTGTAGATGCAAGCCCGCTCATAGTAAGGACACATGTTTTCATATTTTTCAAAGCATTAAAAACATTCAAAATAATAAAAAAGAAAATTATGCTTTTATTTTTAGTACATTTGTTGTCTAAAAAGATACAAACTGTGGCTTTAAGAACAAAAGAACAAACGTTTTTTGTGTGTGTTTTCTTATCATGGATGATAACAAGTTAATCATTTAATTTTGCATATCTTCAAAATAATACATTTAATATAAGCTTGTAGACAATATCACCCAAATCTATTCCAGAACACAATTACAGTTCCCATTAAAGCTATACTACGTAACACTTCTGGTGAAGGATCCGCTTACCATACATACCTGCTTGCCTCCACTAAGAAGTTGTTGCTTTGCCTGGAATGTTCCATAGTAAGACAATAAACTTCATTTAACCTTGAAAAACCTACATTATTTCTACAGCAAGCTTGCTTCTTCATAAATCTGACTTGTAACTTAGCCTAGAAACGTCACTGTTTAATGTGGTTAATGTCATACTGTGGAACATTCCAGTCTCCATGGAGAAGGACCCTCCACCAGAAAAGCTACATACATTAGGTCTACCCATTTGTGTCTAAATCAAGGTTCATTTAAAGTGGGACTCAACACCAAAACTCCACCCACAACCATGTTTGAAAAAGAGCTAAGAAACTGAGCAGTAAACGGAGAACTAAAGGAGAGAGTGAAGGAAGAGGAGGGGCAGGGTCTGGAGGACTAAAGGGGAGAGTGAGAGAGAAAGAAGATGTGGTCTGGAGGACTAAAGGGGAGAGTGAGGGAGGAAAAGGATGTGGTCTAGAAGACTAAAGAGGAGAGGGAGGGACAAGAAGAGGCGGTGTCTAGAGGACTAAAAAGAAGAGTGAAGGGACCTACTGTAAAGGGGAGAGTGAGGAGGTCTAAAAGGGAGAGTAAGGAGGACTAAAGGGGAGAGTGTGAAGGACTAAAGGGAAGACTGGTGGGGGGGGGTCTTAGGGGAGTGTGAGTGGGACTAAAGGGATGAGTGAGGAGGACCAAAGGGGAGAGTGAGGAGGACTAAAGGGGAGAATGAAGAGGACTAAAGGGATGAGTGACGAGGGCTAAAGGGGAGAGTGAAGAGGACTAAAGAGAGAGTGAGAAGGACTAAAGGAATGAGTGAGAAGAACTAAAGGGCAGAGTGAAAAGAACTAAAGGGGAGAATGAGAAGGACTAAAGGGGAGAGTGAAGAGGACTAAAGGGGAGAATGAGAAGGGAGAGAGTGAGGGGGGAGGAGAGGTGGGACCTGGAGGGGCTACAGCTCCCTAAAGGGGAAAGTGGGGTACACCTGGCTGTAATCAGGGCAGTCTTGTGTGATGTCACATAGTACTTGAAATTGCAATAACCACAGGAGGCAGCACAAACTTTGCACTAGAATCACCTAAAAAGATTAAGAACAGTAGACAATATTAAAACATCATAGACTTTAGTAGTGAAAAAGTTGAGTGTTTAGTTCCACTTTAAACAGCAATGTAATTATAAGAAGATATATGAAGTTACTGCACAAAAATGGCCATGATGATGAATTTGAAGTAGCCCACGAGGAGTTTTTCTTTGGCAAAGATTGTTACAAATATTGGCACCATAACTTCACTACTGCATATTACTCATTGGAGAGGTAATGCAGTGACAGGGAGATTGGAAAAGTAATTCTCGAGGGTGGATTTACAAGAAAAAATACAAACGATAAAATGGGTTGAATACATTACACAAGCAGTAGAGTGGTATAGGAGAGATATTAAAGGGATAAATCAAAAAGAAACCATAAAAGCAAGAATAAGCAAACGGAGAGAAGGAGGAGTGGGGACGAATGGAGGTAAAGGTTATACTGACAACACACCATGGGTCAGTCTGCCAAATGTCCGAGTGGAGTGCCCAGTTCTCTGCAACAAAACAATACATTATTTAAATTATTGAATACAATGAATTATAATTTAAAAAAAAAATCAATATAAGCATTATTTTACCTAAAATCAGTATTGTTCTTGGATGCTAAATGCGATATGCTCTCTTTAGGCTAGCTTGTTTTTATAGGTATATACAATATAGATAAAAATTTACCACTACTCTTACTGCTACTACAACTACAACTACTACTACTACTACTACTACTACTGCTGCTACTGCTACTGCTACTACTACTACTAATACTAGTCCTTACCTCTTTCTTCTCCTCCTATACTGCTACTAGTACTACTGGCACCACTACTACTACCACCATGACTCTTTACTACGACTACTATTACTGCTGCTACTATACTACTAATACTACTCCTACCTCCTACTCCTTTCTACTCCTACTTGTGTTTATTCTCTACTGCTACTACTAATATTACTACTACTCCTTACTCACTTCTCCTCCTCCTAAACTACTACTACTAC